TGGCACAGCAACTATCAGCAGTTGCCACAGGGTGGAGGACAGCAGTAGAGGTAAACTTGCAGTTAACTCATTGGGCAGGGGACCTGGTGACATGGGTAGAAGATGGCTTCAGAAGACTAACATGGGGAGAAGTGTGCATAGGTATTCAAAATGCTCAGTTAATAATGTTAATGGATATTATGAGAGATGCTTGGTCAGAACAATGGCCTTCAGTATTGAATCGGGAAGCTAGCCCATATTTATCCACAATTGCAAAAACATACCCATCTACCTGGAAAATAACATCCCCGACCTGTGGGGACAGTTCTTGTGTAGTTGTTACTATGATACCATGGGAAGGAAATGCAAATAAGGTGGTTCCCTTGTACCCTATGGGAGTAAGTAGGGAAGGGGGAGCACGTTGGGAGCCACTAGGGAATAGGTGGGGGGCATGGAATGGGGTAAATTGGACTGTCATCACATTAAGCAGTTGTATATCCAGAGGAGGAATATGGATGTGCCCCTCTCCTATGACTATGGAGGAGCAGGATCAATGGCCTATTGCAAAGGGGGGGCATTTAGGGGTAATGTATATGGGGTATGGTGTATTCTGTTGGGAATGTATGCAATCCTGCAATATAACACTAGGAGGCAAAATCCTTCCAGTGTATGACAAAATTATGAACTTCTATACTCTGCCACCTGGACTATGGTGCACCAATGGATCAGTGGACTCAATCGTTGTAAACAATCGAACCAGCACCTACTACCCGATACCGTACCAAGTAGTTGAATTGGTTTGGACAATACCAAATTTCACTGTGGATATTCAATGGACACACAATATGGACAAAAGTACACAAAGATTACAAGAGCAACTTGCTGCAAGCGACAACAGTTGGACACACTTACAATACACACTACAGGATGGTGCTGACAAAATTTTAACCTTATCAAAGGAGGAGAAGCAGTGTTTTTGGTGGTGGCCAGGATGTTGGACCATACTGCAGTGGTCAGGACTCTCGGTGTTGCTGTGGAGTATCATAGCAGCTAGTGTATTGTTAACTATATGTGTGTTACATTGCATATGGAAACGATCAAGGGGGCACAACCCCCTAGAGAACAGCCACTAATTATAACTTATAAGTAATGTAGTAAGCCCCCCAAGTGTACTAGACAACCTGGACCCAACCTTCTCGGGCCCACTACACTGGGAAGTCTGGAACACTAATTGGAATAGGTGTGGTATGCCCGTACGAGAGAAGGTGCAGGGCACTATACTACACAAGGGGCAGTGGGACAGATGGAGCATCGACACCTTCCACCTCGATGCCTGGCCCTATCAGGAAATGTGTCGCCATATGTCCTATGCTTTTCCAGGGATACCTGGGCAGGAGGATCCCAAAAGAAAAAGAAAAAAAAAAGGGGTGGAGTGTTAGGATATAGATATTCAGGCCTGTCTGTAAAGGCCTATACTCTAAGAATTTAGGTGTATTCCTATCACTTGGCTAGTTAGAGGTATAAAAGAAAGAATCAAAATCACTGTCTGCCAGTGAAAGGGCCTTCTCTTACTGTGACAGTCTGAGGCCCTGTTCTTAGGCTAAGGCCTTTGGCTAAGCGACAGAGGCAGCCATAAGCTGGGAAGTGAATGGTCACATCCTCACATTCCAAACTAGTCACATTGAAATAAGGTGCTATTGGGCTGTTAGGAATTTAATCCTGTCCTTATAGTGCCTATCACCTCCAGAGAAAGGGAAGTGCCTAGAAGCTGTAAAAGGAAATTGAGGTTGATAGTTTTCTGTCTGGTAAGAACTCACTTATCAATAGACACAGCTGGGAAACTCTTATGTCTTTACAGATGTAGTTGTGAAATCCTCACTTCTGTATTGTTTTGTCATTATAGTTCCCACTTTGCTATTGTTTATTGGCATGGTCTCTGTCTGGTTCTGTGATTGCTTCTGTCTGCTGTATAATTAATTTTGCTGGGTGTAAACTAATTAAGGTGGTGGGATATAATTGGTTAGCTAATCCATGTTAGGATTGGTTAGTTAAATTTTAGTAGAATGATTGGTTAAGGTATAGCTAAGAATATTACTATATAAATTAGGGGCAAACAGGAAGTAAGTTGGGATTCGAAAATAAGGAAAAAGGAACTTGTATTTAGCTTGCTGGAAGTTCACCCCAATAAACATCGAATTGTTTGCACCTTCGGACTTCGGGTATTGTTGCTCTCTGTTCATGCGAGAAGAACCAGGGAAGTGGGAGAGTGAAGGAATAAGCTCTCTAACAGCAACAAGGGCACACTGTTGACTCCTATCCAGCTTCTCGTCCACTGTAATCCCCAGGTCCTTTTCTACAGAACTGCCGCTTAGCCAGTCAGTCCCCAGCCTGTAGCGGTGCAGGATAAATTTTATATTATGTTTTCCATTTCACTAGTGAACAGGAAAGTACATATTAAAAAACACTTAATATTTGTAGCCAGCATTCTGCAATTTGGAACTGGATATACTTGGATATTTTGTTCCCACAAATAATGGCCATAGTACTCTGCCTTCTTTGTGATTATGTTTCGCTGTAAAGTAAATGTTTATAATTGAAACAAATTCTTACTCTGAGCAGTGCCTGGCTGCAGTTCTGTCCTAAATCTTGCTTTTCTTTTTAAGGAAAACTGCAACATTAAACAACGTAGTGTGGTTCAGAATATGCCACGAAAGAAACAGACATCAATCCAGGATTGTTCCCAGTGTGCTTTTCTTGAATTTTTCTTCATTTAAAAACTAACAGAAGGGACCAGTTTTCCTTCACAGAAGAAAAATATTTATTTTAAATGGATACAGCTGGCTTTAAGAAATCAGATGCTTTAGGTACCTTTTTAAAAGAAATTATGTTCCCTCAAGCCCCCTTAAAACCTGGCAAGAGCTTCCTACTTGCTGCAGGCAGAATATTTGTTTATCAGTCCCATGACTTAACACTGTAACTCAGGAAGCTTCTGTTTATTTTATTCATTGTACCTCCCAGCTCCCTTTGCAGCAAGCAGCTAGTATTTCAGATACATTTTTCATTTGAGTCATTATAAACACAAATGCTGTCCATGTATGTGCCTCAGGCCAGCAAGACTATTAATGACAGAATTTCTCTCTCTTGATTCTAACTTCAACACCCATCTCAGAACCTTAGATAAGAATATTCATCAGCACTTAGATTAATTTGGGACAGAGATGGCGAGGACTAACCCCTGTGCTCATAAATATAAGATCTGAATTTCCTTCACTTTGCCTCAACTTTTGTGTATTTATATGACAACAGTGCCCTCTAGTGACAAGACAATAGCAGGCAATTCCTTAATTCGACAAATCATTTCAAGTTATTTTTCAGTCTTCTATCATTTCCTCCTTTTACCTGCTTAATTTTGTTCTAGTAAATAAATCTAAAAGTATTAACTCTTGTATCTGAGTGTTTGAAAGAGAGAAAAAAACCCTCTCTCTGTATTTTGCTTTAAACCTTTATGTATTTTCCAATGAGTGTTTTATTAATCTGTGATTTGTACCCAGTTACAACAGTACTAATTCTATAACTATCCTCCAGTTAGGTGGGGGGCAGGGAGTGAGACCCAGCTACCTTTTGCATTCAGCACCCTTTGCTTTTCATACCATAATTTCAGCTAGTATCCTTTAAGCCACTCAGGCTGGTCAACACATGCATTATATAGGTGCACCTCCTGGGATGTCAGTGTCTAGGCCTGGGAAAAGTCTAACTTCCTTCAACTTTGCTGTATGCTGAAAGTTAGCTTATATTTAGGCAATATGTTATGGAGATTTTGCTTATGTTACACACACTTTTTTCTTAGGTATTTTCAATTCTACAACTTCAAAATGTCAATTTCTACTGTCGGGGTTAGCCATGAAAAACAGTTCTCTATTTTTAAAATGGCTACACCAATCAAGAGGTTGATTCAAACTGCCCAAAGCTTAGTCTTCATCCACATTTATTGCATGTACTGTAAGGAACCTTTCCACGCATTCAGCATTCACTGTAAACAAGTCTTTGAAAACTATACCCAAAACCTGTGGGCCTCCATTCAATAGACCAGAATACATCAAGAACTTCTTAGGCTCTGTGACAACCATATGTACTCGCACAAGAGCCCTTATTTCAGGATGGAGATGGGAGATCAGAAACATGGCTGACTAGCTACACAGGTACTAAAAATGCCTAAAATTAGCCTACAACAGGTTTGTAGGCTGCAGCCTACAAGTTATGCTCCTTCTCGTGAACTCCTAAAATAGCTGGGGGCTTGTTTCCCCTGACTTTTTATTACTGTACAAAATGGAAAACTCTTCACTGACCCATCTAGCTTAAACTAATAAGAGCAAGGACACCCTGTTTAACATTGTCTGCATTGTCTACAGCCAAGCTCTGCGATACAACCACATTTGCTCCAATCCCTCAGACAGAGACAAACACCTACAAGATCTCTATCAAGCATTCTTACAACTACAATACCCACCTGCAGAAGTGAAAAAACAGATTGATAGAGCCAGAAGAGTTCCCAGAAGTCACCTACTACAGGACAGGCCTAACAAAGAAAATAACAAAACGTCACTAGCCGTCACCTTCAGCCCCCAACTAAAACCCCTCCAACGCATTATTAAGGATCTACAACCTATCCTAAAGGATGACCCAACACTCTCACAAATCTTGGGAGACAGGCCAGTCCTTGCCTACAGACAGCCCCCCCAACCTGAAGCAAATACTCACCAGCGACCACATACCACACAACAGAACCACTAACCCAGGAACCTATCCTTGCAACAAAGCCCGTTGCCAACTGTGCCCACATATCTATTCAGGGGACACCATCACAGGGCCTAATAACATCAGCCACACTATCAGAGGCTCATTCACCTGCACATCTACCAATGTGATATATGCCATCATGTGTCAGCAATGCCCCTCTGCCATGTACATTGGTCAAACTGGACAGTCTCTCCGTAAAAGAATAAATGGACACAAATCGGACGTCAAGAATTATAACATTCATAAACCAGTCGGAGAACACTTCAATCTCTTTGGTCACGCAATTACAGACATGAAAGTTGCGATATTACAACAAAAAAACTTCAAATCCAGACTCCAGCGAGAGACTGTTGAATTGGAATTCATTTGCAAATTGGATACAATTAACTTAGGTTACCTTGCATAATGACTTAGCCACTCCCAGTCTCTATTCAAGCCTATTTCCCCTTTTTTTTCCTACCCACCCCTGCCGTTCTTGTTAAACCCTGGATTTGTGCTGGAAATGGCTCACCTTGATTATCATACAAATTGTAAGGAGAGTGGTCACTTTAGATAAGCTATTACCAGCAGGAGAGTGGGTTTGTGGGGGGGGGAGAAAACCTGGATTTGTGCTGGAAATGGCCCAACTTGATTATCATACACATTGTAAGGAGAGTGATCACTTTAGATAAGCTATTACCAGCAGGAGTGTGGGATGGGAGAAGGTATTGTTTCATGCTTTGTGTGTATAAAAAGATCTTCTACACTTTCCACAGTATGCATCCGATGAAGTGAGCTGTAGCTCACGAAAGCTTATGCTCAAATAAACTGGTTAGTCTCTAAAGTGCCACAAGTCCTCCTTTTCTTTTTGCGGATACAGACTAACACGGCTGCTACTCTGAACTCTGAAACCTGTTTAACCTGAAACGTAGTGCTTGAAACAGCTCGCTGTATAGACAAAGTGACTGCCGGCTAGTCCATGGCGGGTACCACAGCTGCCAGCCCAGCAACACTATGCTCAAGATGCCTTTAGGCCGAGTCGGCCACTGAAGGTTGCTGGCAGGTTGGACTGTGGGTCTGAACAGAACTTTTGCTATCACTATTGAGCAAAGACTGTTACTGAGGAATAACCGACCTAAGGCCCAGTTCCTGCAGAGAGCCCTGGCCTGACTAGGTACCTCCATGGAGCCCTAATGAAGTCACAGGGCCTCCATGCAAAGGCTGACCCTTGCCTCTATGGTGCTCACAGCAGGCTAAGACCCTCGGTCATTCTAGCTCAATACCGTCATTGATAAAAGTAAAGTGAAATGGAGGTATCAAGTGTCCTGGTTAGTTTTAACAGTGCCATGTACTATAGCTAGTCTATCAAGCTATAAAGTCAGATGTAGGGTTAAGTATGCAAGGCTCACTCAGTTCTGCCAGAGAATGAAAAACGTTGTTTTAAGTTGTTGGGGGGGGGGGGGGGGAATTGCTCAGTCTATACAAAATGTGTCTTCTCCTCAGCTATAAGACTGCATCATTCCAATCAATAACCCACACAATATTTAAGAGCACACACATTGATGTGTCTGCCTAGTTCAGATTTTTAGTCAAGGCCACTCTTGAGAGGCACCTAAACGCAGTGCCAAATGTCTGTTGCACTTGTAAGCTACAAAACATCTTTATTCATTCAGAGAAAACATGTTACCCTATGGTTCAGTCAAGATCATTAGCTCACTTTAAAAAAAAAAAAAAAAATTAGCCCCCTGAATCCAGTACAGTCAGAGTTACTGGTTTATGGGCATCAGTGTTGGGAGGTGAGGCAGTACTGGGCTGTATCTTCCATGTGTGGGTTTCCACAACTGGTAGGTGCTGTGACATTGTTCCCCCCAATTCATGAGCTGAGCTATTTGAGGCAAAGGTATTGTTTGAGGTATGGGCTGCCGCCCCAGTCTGTTGTGTTTTAAAATAGACAATATAAAATACCGGCAAGACTATTCCTATCAGGAGCATAATAAAAACTGCATTCCACCACTGGATGCCACAGTCTGCACCATTATTGGGCTCCTTTTGCCCCACTGAACTGGATGGTGGGCAGTTTGGTGCTTCTATGCAATAATCTGCATTTAAATGGACTTTTGATTGCACTACATCCTCAATGGTCTGGTCAATCCCCTTAAAGTAGTCAGTCAGGTATCTGCTTTCAGAATAGTTGCTACCGGTGGCTCCATCATCAGGTTCTGGTAGTTCAATCAGCGTCATTCCAGCCTGGGAAGGTGCATTCTGAGGAGGTTTTAATTCTTTGCTGGTCTCTGTTAACACCCCATGAGCCTTGACTGGAATCTTGATAGACTTCAGAGCATACAAGTCCTGCTCACAGATGAAGTTGTTGACACGTTTGATATCTGCAACCTATGGAATTCAGAAAGGAGAAACACATTAACCTAAGGCATCACAATCCTTTACCAATATTGACTCAAGAACAAACCAGGAAAATTCAACCGTGAAAACAAACACTGACTGAAACCTACTATGGGGAGTCTGGCTCACTCTGTTCTTGTAGCCCTCTGACTCTGGCAGTCAGAGATTTCCTAACAAGCTTAAGACCCCAATGAAACTTATAAGTTACAGTCCTTCACATATTGAAAGTTGTAATCTTCAGGACACGTTCAGTAGTGTCTCTAAGGACCATCAGTTGTATTTGGTCTTCAGCTTTGTCATTTCCATCCCTAGGTTTTCTGCTGTTCCTGTCTTAACTCAGCTGGGGAAATCTTTGGAACAACAGGCCCCGACGTTTACAAGTATTTAAGTATTGCTGTTCTCAGTGCTGCGATGTTTAACTGATTCAGGAGCCTACATCTCATCTTCAAAAATGATGTCTGCGCTTTGACTGTCAAGGGGATTTTGGCTCCTAGGGCTAGATTCACAAAAAGACTTAGTAGGGCCTGATTCTGGGAGTTAGGCACCTGAGATTTACAAATCTCTTGTGTAAATGCCCCCCAAACCCTGTAGTTGCCTAAACAGTAAACATTGCCCATCAATACTACCAAAGTTATAAGAAGGATCCAAAATCGGCCCTGAATAGAATTCAGCCCTGGTTACAGCCTGGGAAACAAAACACTGGGGTTGAGTTACTGGGTGTCATTGTAGGAGGCAGTATTCACACTGTGGAACCTTGGACTCCTCCGGAGATCATGTGAGAGATGAAAAGGCAACAAAGTAAAGCACAAGTGTAGCCTAATGTGATATTCAGCTTTTCAATGCACAAGCCTGAGACTTGGGCCTTAGGCAGCAAGAAAAGGTGACTCGCAAAAGGTGAATGCTCTGCCTGAGAAAGCATTAGTGTCAAGTTTCCAGGAACACCATCAAACCTGACTTAGGGGAGGCTTACAAAGGTGCCTCAAGATAACAAGTGGGGGGGGGCAGAGAAAGGGCAGGACAGGCCAGAAGGGCAATGTAACAAATTAACCAACTGCAATAAACCCAGCAGCAGAAATTACTGCACTCGGGACAGTACTTCCCAGGTTTTATTTTCTTAGCATTTAGGCACATTACTGCACTAACACCTGTCTGTGCATTTGGCACTGAAAATCAATCTAAGAACTCAGTAAATTTCTCTTTAAAAACAACATTTTTCTTTTTGAATGAGCCAATATGCACCATCAGCTGCATCTTCATTGTCTGATCAAGGTACAGACTAATTTTTAAACAACAATATGTAAATACAATTCAGGGAGCCCTCCAGCAGCTTCACAACAGCTGCAGCAGGAGTCCCTTTGTCAGTGCAGTGGATGCTCAATGGCCACTTGAAGACTTTTTCTTTGCCAGTTGGCTGACAGCCAGCACTGGAGCCACAAGCCAGCAATCAGCACAGGTAAGGTGGCAGCTGGCCTCAGCAGGGAAGGAGGAAAAGGAGATGAGAATGCAGGATACACACTTCTCTATTCACTTTCTCCACACCATTCATGATTTTAGAGACTATCAGATCCCTCTGAGTAGTCTCTTTTCCAAGGTAAACAGCCCTAATCTTTTAGGCTCTCCCTGTATAGAAGCCGTTCTATACCCTTGAACATCTTTGTTGTCCTCTGAAACTTTTCCAGTTCCACTATATCCTTTTTGAGATGGGGCTTTTGAGGACCAGTATTCAAGGTGTGGCTGCAGCATGGATTTATACAATGTCATTATGATATTTTCTGCCTTATTTTCATCCCTTTCCTAAGACTTCCTAACATTTTGTTAGCCTTTTTGATCACTGCTGCACGTTAAGCAGAAGTTTTTAAAGAACTAGCCACAGTGACTCAAAGATCTCTTTCTTGGTGGTAACTGCTAATTTGGAACCTTTCAGTATATATGTATAGTTCCAATATTTTTTTCTAATGTCCATTACTTTGCACTTATCAACACTGAATTTCATCTGCCATTTTGTTGCCCAGTCACCCAGCTTTATGAGATCCCTCTGTAATCACAGTATATTGTTCTGTTACCGAGTGTAAGCTCCTTACGATCAGCGCTCGTTTCCCTTTTTCAGTTCAGATGTTGTCCTCCCTCAACAAATTAATAATAATTGTGAGTTACCTGAGAGCTGTAACACACTTAGTCATCCAAATTATACAGGAATCCAGGTCATGCTGGCTGTGGGGGTGAATACATTTTCCTTGTGTTATTAATTACAAGACTCACTGCACCCTGCATCACCTTGGTTTATACCCGGGTATCAATAAATACAGGACACACACAGAAGCAGTCGCCTTTCTGTGTCAGAGAAGTGGAGCTTCTTTCTGTATGCACAGAAACTAAGCTACACATAACATATCCCTAAACACAAGTGCTTACAAAATGAACACACATGAAAATAAGACGAAGGGAAGAAACTAAAGCAGCTGCATCATCTAGCTGCAGCTCTTACTTTACAACCATACTGCAGGGCTAGCTTGTTAATGTTATCGCCCTCGGTGAGCTCTCGTTCCAGTAGCACCACATCCCCAGCTCTCTCTGGGGAAGAATTGCTTCTCTGCTGCTCCTTGCCCCTTGGACGTAATTCCATGAAGTCAGATTCCTCCTCTGATGACTCATCCGGATCTGATCGGCCATTTCTAAACAAATAAACGTGGCTGCTTGGATAATTGTGGACAGTGACGGGAGCCTGGAAAGATCTGGTTAGTCGCTCATAGAGCCTCATGTTTTATACTAGAGCCTGTAAAAGAAAACAGACATTTTAGCTGTACTGATCATAAAACAACACGTTTATTCACCACAATGCAGAACAGTGACAACAGACCAAAAGCACAACACCCTGGCAATATACACACACAAGTAAGCCAGTACATGTCTGATGCACTGGTCTAATCACCAGAATGCTCTGCAATGTGCCTCACTTTTCAACAATTGCACTGACAGTGGCATTTGTATCCACTTCAGCAAGGGAGGCAGTCACTGTTGCACCCTGGGAAGCCTAGAATGTTTCTTCATTGGCAGAAAAAACTTTGCATGATGCTACCGTGCTCATTTTAATAAGGGTTCATTCCAGAAATTCTAGTTTAGCACTATTGCAAATAAGTCAGAGATGAAAGAAAGATCATGCTGACCTTGTGGATCCATCCCAGGAGCTGGGTGTCTTTGGTTATGATAAAACTTTGGTATTCCAGAACCTAAGGCTGGTTTGCTACTGCCCTGATGTTAGAATACAGCCCAATGCACCTTTTTGCATGGTCATTTTGTAAGTCCTTGGTTGCTGCTCTTAGTCACAGAATTCTGAGTGTTGGTTTTCTATGCTGTATGTAGGATGTAAGTTTACTTTTTTGTTTGTTCTTTCAGCCACAATGAGTTTTGTGTATCATTTCTCCCCACAGTGTAAGAATTTGTCCCTGCCCTCTCAAAAAATGGTATGTGTATGTTTAGCGTGATCCACAACTGTCTGAGATTGCTGTTATGTCTCAGCCTCTGCCTGCATGAAGCATTGGAACTTGAGCCCTTGTGGTAAGAACAGGGGCCCTAATCCTGCTGAGTTTGTTTATTTCCAGGGCATTAAAGCCGTGATGTCCCTGCCTGGCATTTAATACAGACAAAGCAGGCTGTGACTCCCACATTGGTTCCAGCAGGGCTGTGTGGGAGCAACTGAGAGCAAAAGGTGTGACTGCAGTGGACTTCAGCCCAGTCTCTTGAGCTGACTGCTGCTAGCCACTTAAGAGGGAAGTCATCTTCCAGGAACCAGCAGAAGAAGCTACCAAACTGAAGGCTGCAGCTGGGGATGGCTCTGGAGAGGGTTCAAAGGGACTGGTTAACGGGGTGCAGAGCAGAGGCCGAGTGGGGCCAGGGCCCACTGTGGAGGCAGTGATTTTGAGGCGTGCCTTGTCAGCAAGCCGGCACCCACTGCCCGAGGCAGTTGTGTCCCGCCCCCACATAGTAAAAAGAGCAAGTGCCCCCTTCCCCCCCCAGCTGCTGGAGCCTTAAGCCATTGATAAGTCTGCTTACGCCGAGCGCTGGCGCTGCCTCCAGCCGGGGGGGGGAGTCCCCGCGAGCCCGGCTCCAGGGAGGGGGAACCCCGCGAGCCCAGCCCGGGGGCGGGGGCGGGGGGGGAGTCCCCGCGAGCCCAGCCCGGGCGGGGGTGTCGGGGGGGGGAACCCGCGAGCCCAGCCCGGGAGGGGGATAAGGGGGGGGGAGTCCCCGCGAGCCCGGCTCCAGGGAGGGGGAACCCGCGAGCCCAGCCCGCGAGGGGGATAAGGGGGAGGGGGGAACCCCGCGAGCCCAGCCCGGGGGCGGGGGTAAGGGGGTGGGGGAGTCTCCGCGAGCCCAGCCCGGGCGGGGGTGTCGGGGGGGAGGCCCCGCGAGCCCGGCTCCAGGGAGGGGGAACCCGCGAGCCCAGCCCGGGAGGGGCATAAGGGGGGGGGGGAGTCCCCGCGAGCCCAGCCCGGGCGGGAGTGTCGGGGGGAGGCCCCGCGAGCCCGGCTCCAGGGAGGGGGAACCCCGCGAGCCCGGCCCCGTACCCGAGCGGGGACCGGGCTCCCCCAGCACAGACCTCACTAACCCTCGGCTCCTCCGCTCTCCGGCCCTCAGCCGCCACATCCACCCTCACTGTCTGCCCCGCCACCCGCACTGATTGGCTGGTTCCGCCCAAGGCAGGGGACAAGGGCACACAGCGACCAATCGGCAGCGCGGATGGGCGGGGCCGCTGGGGAGGGCGGGTTAGGTTGAGCGGTCAGCGCGGGGCCGTGCCGAGTTAAAGGGCCAGCGTCCCTTTGCCCCCCCCCACCCCTCCCGAGAGGCCCAGGGAGGGACAATGGGCTTCCCAGGGTCCCTGTGTCCAGGGCTTGGTCTGGTACTGCCCCCTCCCCCACCTGTGGGCAGCTGCCCCCCAGCCGGGCTCAGCCCAGGGCACTGGTGGGGCAGGGGCTAGTAGCCTGGGGCCAGCCCCCATCCTGGGGGCTTGGGGGGGCGGATTTAGGCCCCACCACCACGGGCCGGACTTGGCGACTGGAGAAACCAGCCCTTGGAGAGAAACACACTGAGCTGCCCTGCCAGGGGTACGTGCCACGCCCAGCCCAGGGGCGAGCGGCAGAAGCGAGTTACCCATGGTCACACAGCCTCCGTAAGGGCCCCCACGGGCCCTGCCGTCCGGGCCCCCGTGCTCGCCCAGGCGCCCTCCCAGAGCGGTGACTCGAGCCCAGGTGTGCTGAGGCCGAGGGTCCTGCTGCGTCCCTAGAGCGCTCGTCTTCCCAGAGCTGGAACGGAGCCCAGGCGCGCTCGTTAGGGTGGCCGGGGCCCAGTTTTAAAGGGCCCCCCCCCGACAGCGTCTGGTCAGATCTACTGACCGGACACCCAGTGTCTGGCTACTGCAGGGGAGGCCCCGCGTCATCAGCCTCGCCAGCCCCTACCCTGCCTGGGTTAGGTGGCTGCAGCTTCCAGGTGGGGGGGAATGGGAGGGGAAAAGCAGCAAGTGACAGGGTTTTGGGGGGAACAGGCAGGGAAGAGGTGGGGCAGGAGAGGCTTCGGCCCGCCTGCAGTAGTGTCCTGTTTTTAAATATTACCAATTTGGCAACCCTAGCTCTCATTCCTAACCCTCTTCTCGCCTCTCAATTCTAATTGCCAGAGCATAATGTTCTTCTGAGGCAAAACCATGATTTGATGTCAGTTGGAGGCTTTGACAAAGGCTCAGGGATGGGCTCAGAGGTCCCCCTCATCCGCCAGGATTTGGCATCTCCAGCACTTTACCTGGGGCTACATTCAAGGACCTTTGGAAGCTCTAGGCCAAGCATAGTGCAGATGCACATTACGGAACAGTGAAGACACTAGTGCATTATCGATTACACTGGTTTGCAGCTGGTTTCTGGATGCAATTCAAGGTGTTGAACCCCCTATTCCAAGTGTCCCTAAACCTTCAACTGCCACAAACTGGCACTGGATGACAGGTGATGGACCATGTGAAATAGCTCTGTTCTGTACATTCCCGCTGAAGCTTTGATGCTGTCACACGACAGGATACTGGGCTAGATCGACTACTGGTCTGACCCACTATGGCCTTTCTTATGTTGTCCAGTAGGTGAGATCAGCTAGACTGCTCACGTTGACAGCTCCTAAGTTTCTGTTTTGGGCACTTGGTGTCATTGATTCTGGAATTTGCTTCCATCTTAAAATAACTTGTGATTTTGCTCTTTGTGGATGTGCAATCTAACAGATCTTTTCAGTCATTTATGTGACATTAAGAGACAACGGAAAAAGAAAGAACAAAAATAGAGGGCCCAGGAGGGAGCAGGGCCAGTGTGTATGGTATCTGTAGTGGTCTGTACTGAAATGAACACAAAATGGCTGAGAGTCTCAGCTGATAGCGGAGTCCTATAAAGAGACATTTAAAGGGGAAGAACAGATATAGTAATAAAAGTTACATAGCTACGTATACGGTGAAGAGCAGTGATGAACGAGTGCAGTCTAACACTAATCCCTTTACAACTGCATACTTGCCCTCCATTTGCCATCCGGCTCAGACGCTGATTTGCCCTCCTGACTTGCAGCACGGCCTTTTTATAACAAGTGGTGTGCAATGCCCAACCCCCCCTGGCCTTTCCTTTGTGTTATTTCAGTATTAGCGTTGGATGCTGGAGTCAGGGCTGTTGAATGTGCTTCCTTCCTGTCCCTCCTCCAGCTGCTCCTAAACTAGAATTAATAGGTACAGCCACAGGAGGTGTGGGCTGAGCAGCTGCAGCTCGCCAAGGCCAAATTCTTGTTTCCGCGGTGCCAACGCCCCTTCTCTCTCCCACTCGCGGCTCTTAACTGGCTCCAGCTGCAGCCAGGCTAGTGCCTGCGGTTGGGGGAGCTGATGAGGTGTGTTCTGCACTGGTATGTTTCCTTTGGCGCACCCTGAACCCATGGCTTATGTTTCAAAAACAAGCTCAGTACAAATCCTTAACACGCTCCACATGCAAGGCACCCCCTTTTGGGGTGGGGATAGACTAGAAATAGGCCCTCGGAGTCAGTTGCAATGTACAGGCAGGTCCCGTATTTACACACGCAGCTCAGTGCCAAGACGCCCTTGTGTGAGGCCTGTGGGTTTCTTCAAAAGCATGAGGAATCTGTGTGTACCCTCTTTGCCCTGAAATGAGTCTAGGTTGCATCACAGGCCTCCTAGAAACAGTTAATTCCTTTCAGCTGTGCACTTGCTCAGCCAATGATGCACATAACAGCTCTGCTAGGGGCCTGGATTCCACAAGCACAGAGGCTGCATTCTTTTCCGAGAGGGAAGCTCTTGCTTAGAGCTAACTCAGCTCAGTGACGGCTGCTGTAGAAAAACCTAAGGGAGATAGACAGAAGTAACCTCAAAAAGCTGGTTTTAACAGCACATGCCCTGCTAGTTCTGCCCCCTGCTCTTTTTGAAAGCCAAATGCTTGGGAATCACATCATGGATAATGATGCAACCCCTGATGCTCCAGCGGGGTAAGACAGGGAAGGATGGTTCTTCCCTAGCTAATGAGCTAGTGATGAAATGTAAAAGGGCTGAGCAATGAGCACCCAGGCCCAGATCCTCAAACTATTTAGGGAACCTAATTCCTAGTGACTGCAATGGGAGTTAAATAGCTTTGAGGATCTGAGCTACAAACACCTCCACTTGGGTAAAAAGCATCATAACAGATATCAGCTAGGATGAATTAGGCCCCTCTCCAACATGACTGGTTGAAGAGGAGAAGGGACGGAGATCCCTGCAGCATCAATGTAGAGACAAAAGAGCGGGAGATTCTCATCACATATTGGGGTGGAAGAAGCCATCCCCAGGCTCCAGACAATTGTTGGTGTGTGTTTTATTATAATTTATTAACAATCATTGCTGCCCCATCACTCACCCTCTCATTAGAGCCATGGATGGAGGCTGTCATAGGTTTAATATCTTCTGTACGCTGCATGGAGCCAGAAGGAGAGCTGCAAACGGAGGCAGCAAGCTGGAGTTTTGGAGGGAATGTAGAGGCTTTTCTTCCAGGTTCAGTGCTATGTGTGATATCAAGATGACCAATGATGGAACAGTGATGGTGACCTGAAGTGGATTTTATGTCATGTTCTCTTTCCTGCCTGAAGCGAGAAAGGATTTTATGTGCATGAACTACAAGTTGGTGGCTCTGCTCGAGGAGAAGATTCTTGGATTGGAGGGCAAGTTGAGACACTACTACGAATCAGAGAAGTTGAGGAATTCCTAGAGAGCCAAGTTTGGGAAACACCAATATCTCAGTTTCAGGGAAGAATGGAGCTGGCCACCAAGGAATTGAAGAGAGAGGAAGCCTGGCAGTTGTTAACCCCCACAGGCTAGAGGTCACAGCAGCATTCTGCATGGCTGGAGACAGATGAGGATAGGCAGGCTGCGGCCACAGAGAGAAGAGCACTGGGAGGAATCCACACAGCTAGAAGTTTCAAATCAATACCAGGTTCTCAATGTGGAAACATTGGAAGATACCTCAAGATCCAGCAGGCCCAAGAGAATAGAGATATATACAGGGCACACATGTGGATAGCAGCTCAGTGCAACCTATGAAAATCAGGCTTACCCACAAAGAGTTCTCCAACCATCCGAGGAAGACATCTGATCCTTATTGAAGATTCAATACTCAGAAGAACTGAAAGAACATTCTGCAAGAGACCTCGATATTTGGGAATTGGGGGAACCACTGCTGGAATAGAGTGTCCAGTTCTGGTGCCCACAATTCAAGAAAGCATTGATAAACTGATGAGGGGTTAGAGAAGAGCCATGAGAATGAGTGAAGGTTTAGAAAACATGCATGTTAATAAGAGACTCATGGAATTCAATCTATTTAGTTTAACAAATAGAAGGTTACGGTATGACCTGATTATAATCAATAAGTATCTAGATGGGGAACAAATATTTAATAATGAGCTTTTCAATCTAGAAGAGAAAGAT